CAATAAACTCAAGATTATAGCCTTCTGCCCACTCTGCAATATCGTCTCCCCGGTTCCGGCTAGGGGATCCAGGCTCCCACGAGGGATGGCGGGCATTCAGATCCCCAGCAATGAGGGCTCCCTCTGGTGGTTGATAATCTAGTAAGGCAGTAGTTGTGTGGTTGACAGGCTCCCCTGGTGGCCTGTATACATTGATGATAGTTAGGTCGCTAGCTTTCACCCATAAGATATCCCTTGTTGGGGTAGGTCTTCCCGCCCCTGGCCTCAGCCGTCGCGAGATGCAAACCATCGTGCTTACAACCACCATCTCAACTTACATCGAACTCAGAATCCCCTGCGACGCTACTGAGATTCCTCAATCCATGAGCTCTCTGCTTACTCGCCCTCCGCCTTTGTCTCTCCCGACCTCCCTGGGCAGCATCGCGACAGGTGGAAACAGTCTCACCGCGCCCGATGGCAGCTCTCCCGCTCCTCCTCAGACCAGCACCCTCAGGTCTACTCCGGCCGCCGAGAAGCCCAACCCTTCTTCGTCCAACTCCTTCTCCTCGAGTCAGACTTCCTCCCCCTTCACCACCGGCACCCAGAGCTCTACAATCGACCACACCTCGACCGCCGATTCCTCATCCGCACCTGCCGTCCCCGACACATCCACAGCTGCCTCTAGAAGCACCGCCGAGCCCTCGAAGCCTGCCACCGCGACTTCCACCACGAATATTCCCATCTCCACGCAGTCTATCTCATCAGGAACGACCGAGTCCTCCGTGGCATTGTCATCATCATCCTCGACTCGCAACATCACGACCGTCGTGGTATCAAGCACCATCGTGGTCCTCTGGCCAGGAACGGAAAGCACATCCAGCGTCGCGGTATCGACCACTTCCCCCTCCTCCAAGGCTCAACATACCGCCTGGGTAACCCAGACCTCCCAAGAGACAGTCACGGAATGGATGCAGCCCTCGTCGTCCTCATCCTCCTCGTCATCAACCTCTTCCTCCTCCTTGCCATCCTTCTCTTCAAGCCCCGCTCGAACCGCATGGGTCACGAAGACCGCTAAAGCGACAGTCACAGAATGGTTCGACCCGCCGGCCGTCGCTCCTTCCTCATCCTCCACCTCTACCACCCCGGATGGTCCCGCCGTCGTCGTCGTGACGGCCTCCGCGCAAGCTACTATAACCCAATTCCACGACAGCACCCAAACGATCATCGTCTCCCCCTCCTCCTCCGCTCCTGCCTCACCCGAAGTCCATCCCCGCCTTCCCACAGACTCGAACCTCCCCGGCCCGACAAAGCGCATCGTCCGCTTCAGCCAGCGGATCTGGTACACCGAGAACAAGCACCAGATCATGGTCATAGCCACCTACGAGGACAACCACGTCGTCACCGTCTACACGGCCCCGGAAAGGACCGATCTGCCCGCTGTGCTGGTGCTCGATGACCAGAACGGCAACAAGCGAGGCTCGCTCAAGATGACATTCCGCGTGGGCTTCTTCACGATTGACTTCCGCTCGGAGATGGCGGGCAGGGTTGTCGAGTGGGAGAACCACTGGACCAAGAACGAGGCGGACGAGGGTGCGCCGTGGTGCGAGACCGTGTTCCTGAAGGATGACGGAAAGGTAAGTTTGCAGCTCCTGATGCTTGGAGTGCGTTCGCATGGCTGACTGCTTGGTTCTAGGAGAGACTCGCTCGGGAGATCTGGTGCTACTACACCGCCTGATGAACGGCCTACTTTGCTGGGCTACGAACGATTTCAGAGTTTGGAGAGGACGAATCTTGGTGAGAGTCGCATTCACTTCTGCGAGAGGTGACAGGTCTACTGCATCAAGGATAGCTTTGCTTGGTCTGGAATTTTAGATAGGGCCCCCCGATGAGCTGCCATCACGTCCTGGCCCAGGAAACACGATAGCAATAGATACGATTGAGTCCGCGTGAAATTTCCTGTCCGATGGATAGGTCTGCCTTTCCTGTTCCATGGCGATGGGTTTTGTCTACATTTACGCCGAAAACTCTTCAATGACGCTCCTCGGCTCCGTGTACTCCCCGACCCCAACAAAGGGCATCTCCAGTCCAAAGGCCTTTGGCCCTCCCACAGGCATTCCCTTCTCTGTCTTCCACAAGGGATGCGCAGGTAGCCCAATGACGTTCACACGCAAGCCATACCGCAGATCTTGTGAGCCAATCGCTTCCCCATCCTGGCCGAGGATGGAGATGAGATCTGGCACGGTGCAGATGACTTCCTGGTCTTTTTCGGATCCCTCAGAGTTCGTTAGAGCAGCGTAGAGATACTCGTTCTGGAAAGGAATGAGCATATGGCGGTCGGCGTTCGAGGGTCCGCGAGGATCGGAGTCGCGCTCTTCGTCAGCGAGAGGGGCGAGAAGGACGCTGCCCATCGTGTAGCCCCCGCCGACGTAGCGTCTGACATCAATGATTTTGCCGGTGAAGAGGAGTTTGCCGGCACAAACATCAAACTGGACATCAACGTGTTAGAGATGTAGTGATAGAGCGAGCGTTCTTGAGACGAGACTTACGATTGCATCTATGTAGTTGGACTTCCTTCTCCGGGCCATATGGACCGCACGTCCAAGATACCATGCCTGTGATACTGTGTTAGGGACGCCATGAGACTTGATGGCCGACCCAGGAAGGGGTCTGGCGCAAACGGCACATCCAAGACCGAGTTCAATCGCTGCGGTCCTCAGGAAGCGCTCTAGACGTATGGGGGTATCGGTATTCTGCATCTAAATTTAGCAAAGGCTAAAAGGCGTCTTGGGAGAGAGTCTTGCCATCACAACAGAGACGTTGCCGCTTGCGTCTGAGAGAGCACAGGGAGTCAAGGGGTGACCATACACACTCAGGGTGGCTGTTTAAACAAAGGAGTCAGTTCAGTCTTCTTTACACGACACTAGTCACCAGAAGAGGAGTCACTCACCTTGGTACATCGTTGGGTACGCTCTTCCCATGGCATCGCCATCGACAACGGGGATGTCGTAGTGGACACTCGTGGGAAAGATACTCAGGCCGTTTCCACCGCCGCTGACACTGGTCAGGCTCCGAACATGTAAGCATGCATTGAAAACTTACATCTCATCGATAAAAATGCCGTCGAGAGACTTGATTCCCAGAATCTTGGTGACTGCGTCAATACCGCTTGGGATCTCCGTGCCACCAGCGATTCTCTCATTGATGACACTGGGCGTGCCATACCACGATCCAAAGCATACCATATCCTCGTCTTTCAATGCCTTCGGTGAGATGATCCGCATTTTGCCTGTCTCACTTGTCCTCAAGGCCTGTAGACTCTTAAGGAACTCATGATGCGTCGGGCCTCCACCTCCGGTGCCCAGGACACCGCAGCCAGTCGAAATCAGCTCGAGGTCTACCTCAGAAACGTACCAAACCCCATCTTCCACATTTGGTCGGTACGTCTCGAGGTCTACATGGAGTGATGGCTTTGTTGTGGGACTTAAAGCATCGGGGACGCTTTCCTTCACCGCCTCGTCCTCCTGTTCCTCTTCCAGAGCAGTGTCGCCGCTCTCTGGAGGAAATACAGGATTCTCCGGCACGCAAAGCTTGCCTACAGCTCTGACCTGGATTCTCATAGCCCCGTTGTCGACGTACTGCAATGGCATCTTGTTCACCTCCACGATGCGCACATCGTCCGCTGACGCGCCCTTCTGAACAGCCATGTCAATTGCCTTCTGGCAAGTCGCTGCGACAACAGCTTTCTCATCCCTGCCCTCCAAAATTTCGATGACGTCGACCTCTCCAGAAATTTTACCAATTGCGGCTCCAACGGCATTGGCCGCGCCTTGATGAATCGGCTGGATGCACTTTTCGACGCCATCTAAGTCCTCAGTGACGAGGAGCGCTCCTCCGCCCACCAAAAGAACGTGCACCGGGGCGGCAGATACTTTCATCTGCTCAATGACACCCTCGAGCATTGTTTTGATCCTGCGACGCGCCTTCTCAATTGTTTCGGCGGGAACGTCTTTGATCAGATCGGCGTCTCCGAGATGGGCCTTTCCAGAGGCCACGACAACGTCCGTTGCGGTCAGCGTGGAGCCGCCAAATACTCTCGACTGCTGGGTGAGGAAATGCCCAACCGACCCTGGACCAACAGTCACATCTCCTGATGTAGAGTGTACGCCCACCTTGCTGCCGCCACCTAGACCGATGGAGACGACCTCTGGCATTGAGAAGGCCGTCCTTACCCCGCCGACCTCGACAAATCCCGGAGCCTGCCTTGGGAAACCCGATGGAAGTAAGGCGCAGACATCTGTTGTCGTGCCACCGATATCGATCACCAACAGTTGCGGCTCAACGGCATCGGCAACTGAAGCATCAGAAGGATCTGTGTTCATTGTCTTGATCTTGTCTAGGCCTGCAAGAAAGGCAGCACCGGTCATACTATTCGTCGGACCGCTGGCGAATGTCTTGATTGGATACCCCGCTGCAGTATCCGCATCGATGAGCGTGCCGTCGTTCTGCGAGAGGAACAGTGGGCAAGCCAGCCTCAGACGAGTCATTGCTCGCTTGAAGCCACGCGTAACCTTCTGCGCTGTTCTGAGGATGGCTGCATTGAGAATCGTGGCATTCTCTCGCTCGAGCAAGCCAGGCGGGCCAATGTCATGAGAGCAGACGACATCCAACCCCGGCGCTTCTTCCAGGATAATCTTCTTGCAGGTCTCCTCGTGCACGCAAGCATGATCCAGAGGCGCGAAAACACCAACGAGCGCAACTGCTTGCACACCGGCAGCAACAATCTCTCTCGCAGCCTTTCTGATTTGCTCATGATCTAGCGGCGCAATCTCTCGGCCGTCAATCTCCAGCCCGCCGTCCAGGTAATACAACCCTCCGTCTAGGATTCTCCTCAGGCCAGACGGGAAGTCAGAGAAGGGCGGGATCTGTCTCGTGAAAGGGCCACAGAGGCGGATGACAGCAACGCGGCTGAGTCTGCGGGTGTCGGCTTCGACCAAAGCATTGATGAAGTGCGTCGTGCCGATAGTGACGCTGAGAACTTTCTTTTGATCGACAGCAGAGGTCGTCAGGACTTCTCGTATTGCTGACTCGATACCACTGGTTATGTCCGGTGTTGTTGAGGCTTTGTGAGATGCGAGAACGCCGCGGCCGGGAGTGTTAGGGGTTGTGATGTCGAGGATGGCAGCATCGGTGTTTGTGCCGCCAACGTCGACGCCGATACGGTAAAGAGACATGATGGCCGAGGTGTGTGAATGCCCGGCTGATAGGGTGTGTCGTTTGTTGCGTTCGTCGAGGAAATGCGTGTCTTTTTATCCTGACGATTGTAGGTCGCTGTTCTTAGTTGGCCGACTGCTTAACTGAGAGCCACGATGTCAATGGAAGCATCAACATTTCCACCGAGGGGTCTAAGCGATTAGATCGGGGAACCTTCGGCGTCGTGTTTTCATTGTGTCGGTGGATTGAAGCCATCAACACCCTTGAGTGGTCGGCTTTCTCCCGCCGGCCCCATGCTGCGGGAAGTTGCCCGATCGAAGCCCACCGCGATCGGCCAACTTGTTTTAGCACAGGGTCACCCCAGCTAGTCTCCGCAACAACGCCCTAGATAAAGGCCCTGGTCAAAATTGGCAGTGATAAGTATTCCCGTTAGCGCCGCGTGGTTGAGGTGATCCAATGCCGAGATAACGATGCCGGGCCTGGAGATTTATATGACTCTGGCTCTGCACCTTGGGCCGCCATTGTCGATTGAGAAACGACGGACGTAGGCAGCTTGTTGTCGCACTACTCAAAGAATTGTGCCGCCATAATTTCAATCGACAATGGGGTTCCTGCAGAGGGTGGAACTCCCCTTTATTTCCCGATGGATCGTGAGTTGACCCGCCTCCGCATTTCCACACGGTGGCACCACCACTCGGATGCTGGTTTTGAATGCTAACAACGCGGCAGAACGACGACATTCGCCCTATCGAGTCTAAGAGGCGAACATGGGGTTTTCTGATGTTCCATAACTTTTGTGAGCAAGCACACCAATGCGTGAAGAACGTCGGCTTACCCCTGACTAGGGCTTTTGGTGAACTGCAACATCACTACCTACCTCACGGGGAGTGCTTTGATCCCGCTTGGCCTGACTTGGTGGCAGGCTTTCATATGTGAGATTTGGATTGTATCGTAATGAAAAAGACTCGCTGACGGACTGCAGGTGTTGTGCTGGGGAACCTCATTGCAACGGGTGTTGTAATCATCAACTCCCTCCCTGGAAGCTACTACCACCGTATGTTGCCCGCCTTCCATACTGGATATATGGGATGAGCTGATGATTGTAGTCGGATTTCCTGTCTTCAGCCGGGCAGTGTGGGGGATGTGGGGGTCCCAATTCGTGATCTGGAATCGAATCTTCCTGTCGCTTGGTCAGTCTCTGCAGCCCTGAACCACCTCTTTCCAGCTAACAAATATACTCCAGTTTGGTACGTCGTACGGAACCCGAGCATTTGCAACGCATGAACTAAAACAGCATCGCAGGTACGGCTTCACAGCCTGGGTCGGTGGCGAATGCGTCTACCTCATCCTCCTGTCCTGGGATCCGCGCCTCGAGTCCCACATCCCCAACGCCATCCCCTCAGACACGGGCATGACAACAGCACAATTCGTTTCCTATATCATCTTCAGTGTGATTAGCTTGCCGGTGATATGGATCCGTCCGCACCGCCTCGAGATGTTCTTTCGCTTCGCCTGCTCGATCACGCTCGTTTTCTTTCTCGTTCTCCTCATCTGGGCCCTGGCGACCATGGGACCTGCTGGCTTCGGCGACACCATAACATCTGGTTCTCCCCTTCCCAACACCGGAGGACCGGATAGCGTGGCGTGGCTGATGGTGTACGGCATTGTCTCGACGATTGGGTCCATCGCTGCCGGAATTTTAAACCAAAACGACTACTCTCGCTTTGCAACTCAACCAAAGCATGCCATCCTGGGACAAGCCGTGTCTTTCCCGTTCTACGGCATCTTCAGCTCGCTGATCGGCATACTGGTGACAGCGGCGACCCAGGATCGATTTGGTGGTGAGGCCATTTGGAATCCACCAACACTTTTTGCACAGTTGCTGGCGCAGAACGAGACGGCGGGGACGCGAGCGGCATGCTTTTTCGCTGGATTGTGCCTCGTCATCTCCCAGATTGGTGTCAACGTGCCCGGTAATGCCCTCGCCGGAGGCTTTGACCTTGCTGCGACGTTCCCAAGGTACCTCAACATCCGTCGTGGGGCGTACCTCACGGCCATTTTCAGCATCATTGTCAACCCTTGGCGGCTTGTGAACACGGCCACGACGTTCTTGACGGTGCTGTCGAGTTATAGCGTCTTCCTTGCGCCGATGACTGGCCTCATGATTTCCAGCTACCTAGTTGTGAACAAGAGGAAGATCGATGTCGATGATCTTTACCGTGGCGACTCAGGAAGCATCTATTGGTTCTCGTATGGGTGTAATTGGCGTGCCCCTGTAGCAGTAAGTCGCTGATCCTCGAACGAGATAGCCATACTGACCATGAGAAGTGGCTGGTCGGCGTGGTACCCTGCATGCCTGGATTTGTGGCAGCGGTAGATACCTCGGTGACAGTTAGCCCTGGAGCAACTGAGCTCTACTACATGTCGTACGTGTACGGACTTCTGTCTAGCGGGCTGGTCTACGCCGTGCTGCACCGAGTGTTTCCGGCAAAGGCGCTCGACTCCTTTGTTAAGACAGCACCATCCGCGAAAGAGCTTCAGGAATTCCATCTTGGAAAGTGGGATGTTACGTTGGCAGAAACACCCAATGTCGTCGATGTGCTTTCGGGTCATGGGGGTAAGACTGGAGAGACAGTCGCGACAAAGTTTGTTTTTCCGAAGTCTCGGGGGGGTGAGACAGGGAGATTTTCAACGGGGCCCTAAAGCCTTCGGCTGGTGAAAGAGAAGGGTTCCTCATCGGGCAGGCGCACCTCCACACGTTGTTGGGTCGTGCCTTCCTCCGTTGCTGCTTCCCTTCTGCCGCTCCTTCTCAGAACTGCGACCATTCCTACTTAAGGAACAAATCACCTTCAGATCGCAATAGCTACCGGGAAATCTTTCTGGCATATGGCCTGGTTGGTAGAATAGCACCTAAAAATATACTGTTGATCAGATGGTTCTGTTCACTTCTGCACGGCGCTTTGGTTCGATGCTCCATATGGGCACAGAGCGTAGAAAACTGAAAAGTTTTTTTCCTTCTTTAATCAATATCTTGAAGTACTTAAAACACCTTAGATGCGATTTTTTTTGCACGTAAAGTTCTATTGAAGCCGTCGTGAGTCGACCGAGAAGATGCAGTATCGTGAGGCCATCACGTGGGTGACGGGGACTGGCGGCCGCTCCCCGCCTTGGGGTTGCAGTGGTGGATGCAACCCTAGAAATCCACTAACAGCAATGACAAACGACCGCTAACAGAGGCAGGTCCGACCATCGGCTAACTGGACCCTGAGATATCGGCCAACTTTCTCCCCTTCTCAGCCAACATCGGCCAACCTCCCACCCAAACCCAACCCACGATCTTGAGTTTCGTCCATCAATCTGTTACAAATCACAAGATATGTCAACCAATGGCAGTACACGGGATGTGCGGCGACGCAAATTCAAAGTCCAGAGCGAATTCGGCAACGCTAGGCAGTGGAGGAGTCGCAAGAACAGACCCTGCGATATTTGCCGGAAGAGGAAGACCGTGTGTGTCATCACATCTGTGCCGCCTTGTACGTATCGATATCCTCCAATCTCGAACAACCCGATTGACTGAAGGCAGGTCTTTTCTGCAAGGGGCGAGGACTGGAGTGCACATCAACCACACCCTCGGGTCCATCCTCATCCACACCAACAGTAGCGATCCCCGCCCGCCCTCGAACACCCGATGCACTGCTACTAGACTCTGCACATCCGGCGAAACCAGCATCTGCTGGTCGGGGACGCGATCATATTTCATCAAACATAGATGCGAGTCTTGTCACCAGCCATTCACCACCCGGCGATGCTGGCCAGAATGCCAGTCATGACCCTGCCGTTGCCTCTCCTGTCGCTGGCCCTCGCCTGGGCGCAACAGGGCTATGGACCCTGGAAGACAACGAGAATCGGACGGCCCACAGCATGGGCCCGGCTGCAGAGCAAGATACCTACGTCCTTGACTCCATTCCATCGGGCGTCATGAGCAGCCCGGATGATGTAGATGCCGACATGATCCAAGTCTACGCCGGTACCAAGTACCCCTGGGACCCTCCAGTCCACTTCTGCCTACTCCAAGACGAGTTCGCGCCACACGACAACGCCGCAAAGCAGACTGCCTCAAACGCCATCGAGGGTCTCGTGGGGCCATACGGACCTATTCTAGTCAGGCTCTACTTCAAGCATGTTCATCCCGTCCTCCCGATCCTCTCCAAAGGGAGGTTCCTAAGGCAGTACGCCTCCGATAAGACCAAGCTCCCAGCTTCCCTCAGAGGGGCAGTATACGCGTTGGCCTCCGTTTTCGAGAAGAAAGACCCATCCCTGAAGGGACCCTTCCCTTTCCAGCAACACCAGCTTGCCGATTACGCGACCGACTCTCTGCAGCGAGAGCTTGACTCTCCAAACCTGGCCAAGTTACAGGCTAGCCTACTCCTGCTACACGTCAAGCCCAACCATGTCGACAGCATTGAGCATCCACGGACATGGACCTCGACCGCCGAGGCTGTGGCTATAGCTCAAATGATCGGACTACACCAGGACCCAGAGCGGTGGTCCCTCGCACCCTGGGAAAAGAGGCTGCGCAGGAAGCTCTGGTGGGCGACGTATGTCACAGACGTATGGTCGGCTGTATGCCATGGGAACCCACCGCACATCTATCCCGCATCCTTCAATACTTCTGCGATGGCGATGGAAGATTTGAGAAGCGATGAAGATCTGTCCGAAAACCTCCAGATCATGGTCGACCCTATTAGTGCTCGTTTCCATGTGTCTACCGGAGCGCGCTTTCTAGAGTTGGTGAAAATTAGTAAAGTGGTGCGAGATCTGATTGATTATAGTTTGTAAGTATACTTTCCCTGTTGGATGGCTTTCCGGCCCTGGGAGCTCGACAGACTCACACCCTTCAGTCAAGTGCCGAGACTACGGCCACCGGGGCCTGAGGAAGCTGCAGATCACGCGCGATTGCTTGAGATGAAAGAGGCACTCAGGGACTGGGGAGACATGCTACCCCATGGTCTGCTAATGCCCGCTCCCGAAAGAACAACCGGCTCATCCAACAATGGTACGTTGCATCGACTTCCACAAGCAAAGAGCCAAGAATGGCTGACGAATAGAGCTAGCACCCCTTCACCTGGCCCACCATGCCTCTCAGGCTCTTGTCTTCCGGGCGCTCATGAGCCCGGCGACAAATGAGGCGAAGAGCGACCCCTCTTCGAACCTTTGCCGCTGGTTTGGTACGGCCGTGGCCGAGTTTCAAGGCTTCGCGAAGTTCATGGAAGAGGTTACGGCCGAGGATCTGCAGGGTTTTTGGGGGCGCCGTAAGTCAAGCTTCAATCCAGTGCTGTCCGTCACACCAATCATTAGACTGACTTTTGACTGCAGATGCTCGATCCCAACTCATACTTTGCGGGAACTTCATCATCTTCCTATTCCTGCAACAGCCCAAGGCTTCAGATCTTCAGTCCGCCTGGAGTCTAGTCCAGACCCTTCGCTTATCCTTGTACAGGCTCGAGAGCCAGGCAGATGACGTGGCAAAGTTGCTGATTCGGCCTGTGTTGTTGCGCATAGAGTCACTTTTCTCCCAAGGACCAGAGCTCATACGACAGTATCATTCAGCGAGAGTGGCCGCATCCTCGGCACAGGGGGACGTAGGGCCCTCGTCACAAAGCCAGTAGCATCATGATATGAAGGTATTCATCTTGATTCATTATTCTTTACAGCCTGGAACTCCTCATTATGCCAAGGGATGCAACTGACAATGCCAGGAAGTTTGGCTTACTTCTTGTCCTCCATGCCCTCGCGGAGGATCTCGATCTGCCTCTTGATCTCGACCCACAGGATAAGCTTGTCCAGACCCTCATCGTCAGCTGCAGCGTCAACGACACCGAGCCAGTCGTCCTCCAGCTGCTCCGTCAGAGCCTCGATATCATCAATCTTCCGGTCATCCTCTTTTTGCGCGATGGCGAGAAGAGCAGCAACGAAGGCCTCCTGGATGTACGCAAAGCTGAACTTGTCGGTGATCTTGGCAATGGCAGTGCAGAGCTTGTCGGGGAACTCAATCTCCTTGTTGCTCTTGAGCTTCTTCTGCCAGAATTTGCAGTATGCAGCGCGCTGCTCGAGGTCGGGATCGGGGAAGTAGTACTTTCGGTCGAAGCGAGATGGGCGTTTCTGAAATCGGTCAGTCATTGGCTCGCGCCTTCACAGCAGTACTGGCGGACTTACAGAGATACCAGGATCGAGACGGTCCAAGTGGTTTGTGCTCCCGATGACCAAGATACCGTCGTTCGCCTTGAGCCCATCCATCTCGTTCAGGAAGTAGCTCCTCACATCGTCCGAAACAATTGTGTCAAGGTCCTCAAAGACAAGGTAGCAGGGTGCAAACTGACGCGCCTTGCCAAAGATCTGTCCAAGCGAGTACTCCGGCCCAGCGTACGATGTCAACGTCCGCACGTATAGCGTGGGGATCTTCTTTTCGTACAGCATGCGCATTGTCGCCTTAATGGAGATGGTCTTGCCGTTGCCTGGCGGGCCGTGGTAGATCAGACCGCGTTTCCACGGGACCTTGAGGTTCTGATACGTCTCGCGCGAGTTGTAGAATGACAGGTGGTCGTCGATCAGCGCCTTCTTCATGTCGGCGTCGAGGATGACATTCTCCCACGACGCGTTCCTCGTGCTCTCGAACAGGTCACGGCTCTTTTGCCAGGAGCCTTGGTCATAAACCCAGACCTCGTCGTGCAGGTCCTCGCTCCATGACCCGGCGGCGAGGACGAGGCGGTCGACGTGGTACGTCTCGGGGGCGAGAACGTAGAAGTTTTTCGTTGTGACATAGCCCGTGGTGCCGTCGCGGCCATCGACAAGATAGACGATGAACTCGTGGCCCTGCCACTTGTAGAGGTACTTGCCGTAGACAATGCTGTTGGCGAGAGCGCCGAGGTTACCGTCCATGCGGCGAGCGGGGGGCAGGTAGACGGTCCATTCGAGGGAGTCGGTGCCGTTACCGCCGTCATCGCCGAGGGGCTCGTAGGAGGCGAAGCCGGCGGCGGCGTAGGAGAGCAGGTCGCAGGTGGCGGCGCCGTAGCCTAATTGCTCGGGGACGACGACCAGCTGCAGGTTGGGGTACTGGGCTTTGAGGGCTTTGGTAACGACGAGGTCTGTGGCGACGCGTTTGGCGGAGGAGTGGTCAAAGTAGGCGGATGTCGTGGCGTCGGAAGGCGGTTCCGAGGAGGACGCGGGTTTGGGAGTCGTGTGGGAAGTAGAGGGAGAAGCTGTCGCTGTCGTCGTCGGACGGGGAGTGAGGCGGGGAGGTTGGCGATTAGGGACTATGGCGGGTGTGATGGGGTAGTCATCGTGAGTCGTGTTCCAACGGGGGAAGGCCGGCATCTTGGCGGTGTTTGACGTGGTGTTGTTTTGGTCAATTGAGCTTTGGGATTTAAGCTATCGCTGGGAGATTGAGATGGGAAAGATGCAGAATGGAGAGAGCTAAGGTAGGAGCTGCAAGGCGTGGGGATCTCAGCTCCAGGTTATCGAGGTGACAGGGGGCGGCTGCCTAATGATCGTCGTAATGAGGAAGATGGAGGAGGAGGTTGGAGGGCCGCCGTATGGGGAAGCTGTGCGACTGTGCCGCTGCCCCTGTGGTGAGATGACGTTGTGCCATTCGCTGTGGAACTCCACTGCTGGGAGCTAGGGGGAAGCTGCTGCGCCCCGCTACCTAGACAGGGGATAGTGATCGTCCTGGAAAGCAGAGCGATTGGAGCTTGGCTCAGCTTCGATACGAGGCGGATGTGTTTGTCTTACTTGTGTTACCTGTGTAGTCGTCCGCCTGGCGACCCGATTCCCTCAATTGGTATGTGTTGACGCAGACACATCGTGGGGTGTTTGATGCTGATGACGGAGAATGAAAGATGCGATAACAGCGCGATTCAGATAGGAGCGGGAGAATTGGCACCGAGGTTGTCTTCTGGGTTTAGAGTTGCAATGACACTGCGAATGACCGAAGTTTTGCCTTGGAAATGGGTTCAATCGGGGCCGCTTGTTTTGGAACGGGCAGGTGCAGGCGCGCGATGCCGGCAGCCGGGCCGCGTTCTCCGCGGAACGGGGCCGGGTGGGCCTGTTGTTGTCTCTCCCCGTTATCAGTGCATGTCGTGCTGCCGTGGTGCGGGCTGGATGTCTGGGGCGCCCCGTTCTTTCCGGCCACACACCGACACTGGAGTCCCGGTTTCGCCGTGTGCTTTGTATGATGTGCGTCGGCCGATCTGCCTCCGGCCCGAGCCGTTGCTTGTGAACTCTGCCAATCCTTTTGCTTCTGTCACCTTTTGGCATAGACACATAGCCTTCCGTCTCGCAGCATTCTCTACTATCATCTGAAGCTTTAGTTATATACAATGTCTATCAATAGACAGGAAGGTTTAACTTATTATTCATAAATCAGGCCCCCTCCTGGTCGCATCTTATAGCTAACTGCCTTCCACCGGCACTGATTGCCCTTTCGAGCAGGAGAGTTGAAGGAAGAAAGACGATGAACTGCTTTGGCAGCGTTCAGTGGCACCTCCATCAGGCCTGCAAGCTACTTTCTCACTCCCTTCAACGAGCCTTAGTTCAGGACGTTGATTTATTGATCAATAACTAACTATTCACCTTGCCTGGAACCGTGTCAGTGGAGCATCGGCAATGGTTCCAGGCCGCGGTGGAGCTCCACAAGCTGTATGCCACCCTTGCCAGCCTCTGTTTCGGAGCGGTTTGAATTACAGAGCCGTTAACTTGGACTCTTATCCCGCGACCTCCTCGGAACCCGTTCGTCGCGGGTGCCGCGATAGACCGGTATTCTCACCGCCGCTTGCCCGCTTGACCCGGGTGATTGCGGTCGGCTGCACCACGCCCGTATTGAAGCCATTCCCAACGACCATGCCGCCCAACCCGATCATCACCACCCAGACTGCCGGTCTACCCGTCCACATGGTCACCAAGTGACATCGCCCTCGGTTTCGTCCCGTTTGAGCCGCATCCCAGCCCGAACGATCTCCCCCCGCCGATCGCCTGCAAAATTCCCCGCGCCGAGGGGGCGATCAATCGTTCCAGCCATCGCCGGTCCCCTTGGCGTGCATCACCACGCCCATCGCGAGGAGCTCGCTTCCCCACGTGCACATCGCCGACCCGACATGCTGGCCTCGGGAAAAGCAAAGAAGACTCCATGACACAGGTCAACAGTATCCGAGGAAAAAGAGCAGTAAAAGTCGCCGCACCAAGCGCCAGAAAGCGGCCCCAGCTTGCGCCTCCCTCGCACGCCTCTTCCCAGTTGACACGTCTCAGCGCCGATGGGTCAACCTTGCCGCTCGGCCAAGTCCGGTCTCAGACTGGCATCGAAACCCACGCCGTCGTTCCACCTTCTTCCCACCCAGCGCGCTCTCGCCCTTTGCCAGAGGCCTTTCTTCACTGCTAAAGGCGCGAGAAAAAAGCGGTCCTTTGAACTGTTCCAGCGTCAAAAGTCGCCGTCTGGGCGTTGCCCCCTTCGTGTAGCTTCTGGAACCTTAAAACTGGCAGTTAACGCTGCTTCAAATAGATTGCAATCTGCGGCACCTGTTCGTATTTGCTCCTTCCTCTTGTCTGCTGCCAGGGTGAGAAAGACATATTGAATGATAAATAGTAGATCATTGCCATTTGGAACGTATCACTTCCGTCCGGACTTTCTCAGACGAAAAACACAACAGTCACATTTCACGAAAACAATTCCATCCAAAGAAAACCATCATCATGCAGATTTCAAACTTCTTGTTCCTGGCCGTCTTCGGTCTTGCGACTACCGTCGTGGTAAGCTTCACCATCCCCTCCTCCTTTCGCGATTCAGTGATGGAAGGCTAATGCATCACAGGCCCAGCAGGGAACGTGCACGGCAAAGGGCGAGTGCCAGGCTGGCAACGTCAAGCTCTTCTGCACCTCGGGCAGCTGTGCTAAGAAGGAGGGGCAGACGTGTGAGAGGAGCGGCAATTCAGCGAACTGCCCGAAGTGAGCGGTCCTACCCCGTCAAGAGGATGGGCGAAGGAGGGTTGAAGGTCTCGAATGGCATCAATCATCGATGTCTCTGGCCATTTACCTCGGTTGGAGGCGATTGAAGAACGCATGGAGCGAAGGAGTTTTGGGGGAATCTTGGAATTACGTCGAATGAGTTATGATCGCATGAGTTCGTCTACCAGTAGACATCGTCACAATATCACTGCAGAGATGATCTGTTCTAGAACTTGTTGTGGGTCAGCACTAGTAAAATGTGTGCCCGGTGTTCAGCAACAGACGAATATGAGGCAAAACGCATTTGGGGCTTCACATGAGGTACAGTAAACTCGGAGACTTGGTAGAAGCTTTGCGAGTTCTGATGACACCCATCTAATGGTTCGCTCGGTCTTTTGATCTTACCTGCAGCATCATGCATGCTCCTTTCTGGTCGACCCTACGTCAACGACAAATCTCAACCCTTAGTTACTAATCGCCGTTTAGAACCTTTTGTGAAGTCCGAGGTACTGGCTGGGCTTCCAGACCTTCAGGGTCATCGGATACGGCGGAAACACCCAACCTCGTTCAATGGTCCATTCCATGACCAACGTAACTTACCATCCATACATGGCCAGAGGTGTTATTCGACAACGCCGTACCAATAGAGGTCTCCGATATCTCTCTGCAAGCATCGCGTGAACGGCATTTACCGTCAGCTACTAGTAGAGGGCCAGCCGTGGCTTGCCCCGATGCGCCACCCATGTCAGCCCCAGGAGCCGTTTCCACTGACGGAAAGTATCATTACGCCTCCGCCAACGCATTCACTGTCTATAACGACTACACGCCTCAATTCTATGTGAAAGACGAATGGTGGCGCATATCACCTGTCCCCGGAGTCAGTCGCAGGATGTCCAAATGCAACGCATCTCGGCCTCGGCCTCGGCGTGTCGTTCGTGTTCGCGTCGTCGAACATCAGGTAGGATCGGCTCCCCGACGCGGAATTGCGGAAGCCGTCTTCTCCGTTGACCCATTCCGGTTGTTTAGGGCCCGGAGGACCGAGCGGCGCACTTTGAGGGGGGAGAGGCACAAAACATCGGGCGGCGTGAGTCGCTGTGGCGTCAGAAACGTGTTCGCAGGGTTGTGCGCGCTTGGGTAGTAGTCGATCTATTCCAGCTTTACCCCGGATTTTACGAATATTGATGTTGACATTACGTCGTGGAGGAGGTCATCATAGGCTTGATCAAGATTGATGAAACATTGGGGTATGTTGAAGGTGGTGTTGCTGATTGCACTACGCCATCACGGTCGACAATCGTCGTCGCACACATGTAAGCTGCAGGTTCTCCTTCGATGCATGCGTGCTGACCTCGAAATAACCTACTATCGCTTGGTCCAGACTCAAGCCATAATCGCAGCCCTAAGTGGACATGCGACTAATAGAAAGTTCCCAGCTCTCGTCAGCCATAACTTAAGAGTATGCAGGACTTCGGAGCGGCTGAAAGGTCCCTCCCCATCACCACCCCGCTTCCTCCATGATGTCAACGTCACTTTAGCAATGGCCCGAGTTCCCGCAAGAGTCAGTGCTTTTCCGGGGTCGAGAAGGGCCTCCCCTGAGAAAATAGTCCCCGACATGTTGCATCGCGCAGCGCGAGGGCTAAGCACTAGCCCACGCAGCTACGTGAGACACGCTGTGCGCCCGGACATTGACGCGGAGTCATCGGCCGTCAGATATATCGGCCGCTTCGCGCCTATCAACGCGTGCCACAGCATGTTGAATGTGACTGCAGGACGGGCCACAAGGGCGCACCTGCTCCTGCGGGATGGAGAAAGCTTATGCGAATCCATCCTCCTCCTGTGTGGTCTTCTCCAGCGAGCCAAGCGCGCGCCGTTTCGGCCAGCCGTAGAGGCGAGGTGTCGGCAAACCAGGTCTAGCAACGGCCGACTAACGAAAACGCCGTCGGGCTGAGGCTGTGAGACATTTGTGTCTCTCGGGCTTCCCCAAAAGCCTCATCTGGTGTTTGGGGGATAGTCGTCCCGATTGGTGGTGGTGGCGTACTAAGATCTGCGGCCCGATCGTTAGCGGGAACGTCCGTGGGAATCGTCTTTGGCGCGGACGTGTTTGGTCCTGCGAAAGGATGAGGGGTCCTTGATGTTTAAGAAGGAGAGAAGCCCCTCCTGGGTGTTGGATGCATGTGTGTATCACGGTCAGCAGTCCCCTGGAACCGTTGTCGACATGGCTCTTCACGTAGAGTATCCCGAATTTCCCCCAAAGGTCGACATCAGGTGCCAAATTTACGATGTCCTTCCGAATACCTCGTCTACCGACTGGGCCGACGTTGATGCTAGCAAGGTGGGATTGAGCGTCGTCACTGAGCTGTTCGAAGGCCTCCAGAGAATACACCAACCTTCCGTTGCCAAGCTATTCACTGGCAATGCCACAGGGGCGCACTGGAAGGATACGCTCGCATTGACGGCTCATCTACGGACCTTCAATGGCGGCAAGACGGTCGCCGCCGCGCTCGTGGAGCTCAGCCACCTGCGGAGGATGACTGCGGTAGAGTTTGGTGCAGCGCAAGTAGTGAAGGCGAATGAGGAGCTAGTACGTTCCCTCTCGCGACAGAGCTGGAAAGTACACGTCAGCATGACTGACCTCGAATAGGCGTGGGTCGACTGTAGCTTTTACTTCAGCACGGAATCCCCGAAGGCACGATGTAGAGGAAAGCTCATGCTAATCCCCGACGGGGCTGACGGAGAATGGAGGATCTGGTCGATGAGCACATGGTTGACGAACTTCGAAGACCACTTGGAGGACGAGACTCTGTTGCGGCATCCTTCGACACCATTGCCCGCGGAGACCGACTTTCGAACCGATGTGCTCGTCATCGGGGGAGGCAACGCGTGAGTGCCTCCACGATAACAGATAACCTTCTGCTAACATGCCACAAGTGGTGTCATTCTGGCGGGAAGACTCAAGGCGCTCAACGTCGACTATGTCGTCGTCGACCGAAACAAGCAGGTTGGGGATAACTGGCGCTTGAGATATGACTGCATGCGCTTTCACACCTTCAAGTCTTTCTGTCAAACTCCATACATCCGTAGGTGCCCGAGACGCTGGCCGCCTGATGTTGAAGCTTCGACACTGACTCTGGTTCATCTCGCAGCATATCCCGACGAGGCAAGCGATGCTTTGACGAAAGACGAGCTGGCCGACCAGATTCACGCCTTCGCTCACGAATTTGACCTAAACCAACGGATACTTCACCAGTCCTCGATTGTTGCCACCTCGTATGACGCGGGCAAGAAGCTGTGGAGCGTAAGAATTGCTAACGGCGTACGGGGATGTGAGCGAGTGGTCACATGCCGATGCCTCGTCGTGGCGACAGGTGCTGGATTCTCAGGGGTCAACGTGCCTGATCTTCCGGGTCGTGATAAGTTCAGGGGCGCTATCATCCACTCGACAGAGTATGGTAATGGAAAACAGCTAGTAGACGCTGGGGCCAAGGTATGTGGCAATCCAACTAACCATAAAGCAGTCCATACTTACAGTGCTGTAGTCTGTGATCGTGGTTGGCTCCGCAAATACCGCATTTGACATCATGCCAGACTGTCACAAGGCCGGCCTCCAGACGACCATGATCCAGCGATCACCAACTTACGTTGTTCCGATGTCGTACTTCGCCCATCCCATGGGGCTCGGGGCGTACGAATTTCTCCCCATCGAAGATTGCGACGCTGTTGTCAGTGGAGGGCCTCTGGCAGTTGGAGGTCCTCTGCTCGCCCTTTGCCACGGCATGCAGGCGATGGAGGAGCCGTAAGTGTTGCTTTACGAGACCTGTTTTTGTGGCCGGTCGTTAACATACGTCAGAAAACGATATGACGAAGTAAGAAGGGCAGGTCTGCAGGTCGAAGACTCACTCACAGGCGACCTTTTGATCAATCTCATCGATCGTTGCGGCGGGCATTTTGTCGATATGGGCAAGGGCATTGAGCTCATTACCACCGGCCAAGTGGGCATCCGCTCGGGGGTCGTTCCGGCAGGCTATACAGCTGATGGCGTGCTTTTGAGTGACGGCAGTGAGGTAAAGACCGATGCTGTTGTTTGGTGCACAGGCTTCGGAAATTTGGATGTCAGGAAGAGTCTCCCGGATATCCTCGGAAAGGGGGCGAAGCAGTTCGCCAGCAAGATGGAGTCGACGTGGGGTGTAGACGCCGAAGGAGAGACTCGTGGACTCTGGAAGCGCCAACCTGACGTGGACAATATCTACGTGTTCGCCGGTGGAACAGGCCAGCACCGATGGTTTTCGAAGGTGATTGCTTTACAGATCAAGGGAATGCTGGAGGGAATTTTCCCGGAGGCGTATCGGCGGACTCCTGGGGTTGAAGAGACGGCCCCTAAGGAGACTAATGGGGTTCATTTGCACTCTAACCTGTGAATTACACAAGACGAACATAGCAGGCCCAGTACATAAGATTGAAAGATAGGACTAGAAACTCATTCTAGAAATACAGGCTGAAGGTCTATATCATCATGTATCCCTTCTCCGTACATGACCCCATGCACATAACAGTCGCCAACGAGTGTATACCTCCCATCCCCAGGTGTTTTTGAACTGCCGCGGCGTATCAAGAAAGGTACTCTTCCACCGGCAAATATCCAAATCTCGTCTCCTGGCTGAACTCCCTCTCCTAACCCAAATAGCCCTGAGTCCGTTATGAAAAAGGTTTGGCCGATAGTAGCGACGAAGAAGGCATCTTGGAAGCCCGAGAAGTTGACTTGTTGGCGATCTATTTCGGTCTTCTCGTCATGTCCAGTTGCGCACAGCCATTTTAGAAAGACTCCATAGCACGATGCGTCTTCAGATGTTGCGCGCCTGTCGTTGTCCGGGTCTTCGAAATCGAGAATCGTATTTCTAATGACGGTTCTCCAAAGTGCATCGCTCTGAGAGCCTCCTCGTGGGTAAAGGTTGCTGCTAGGGGAGGTATCAGAGATGCCTGCCTCTCGCTTCCAACGAAGCAGCCCTTCTGCTTCATGTCCTTCTGAAAAAGGCTGCGATGCTGTCTTTACCAGACCGATCTTTCTCCCTCTTAGCTCCAGGTACCTTTCGTCACGTCGATACCACACATTCAACCCCCCACAGGCTCTAAATCTGTCGCATAGGTTGATTCTCCTGGTTGTACTGTGAAAGTACCTGTCCTGGGGGTCACCTATCAGGTCAGGAACCCAAGATGGCATATCCGGGCGCCGCATCCTTGGACCAGCTAATATCATCATACCCTCCTCGGCTCTGATGAAGAACTCGGTTGCATAAGAGAAGAACTTTGCTGCTTCGCTCGTGTAGTCGGGCGTGATTCCAATGCCAGGGAAGAGACCTAACACTCCGCAGATCTTGTCGCGCGGGTCCGTCGCTTCTTTCGGCCGGAGCATCCACAAGGTTTTCCGAAGCAGGGCCGTTAGTCTATTCCCATCGTGGGCTCCGTGATCGCGGTGCTGATTGCGTATAGCGTCAAGGCCCATGTCAGCGCGTCGAATGTTCATCATTTCACCCCAAAGATCGCTTGTCATCCGCCAGGAGACGGTGAGATGACAACAACACCCTGATGGAAGATGAGAAATGTAGCTGTGATAGAAGTCCGTGATCAAGTGTCCGGGCACAGCGACATTGCCGACGACGACCTGCGAGTCCCGGGCGAGGACGAATTCTTGGACGATCCACATCCGCGACCACCACGAACAGCTCATGAGGCCCAGGAAAGCCTGCCATGCTGCGTGGTATATTTCAGCCACAACAAACTGTCCTTCTTGGTTCACTGCGAAAATCTCTTTCGAGTCCCAGTGCCCGGGTTCACCCAGTAACTGTAGGATAGTGAAGGCTGCTGCAGCCTCCGTTTCCGTGTTGTCGAAGGGTTCACGCCTGCCGAAATTCCCAATGCTAGCGTGATTTGCAACGTACCGAGGCCCGTCTTCGAGTGAACCAGGAGACCTCTCAAGGCCTTTCAAACTGTCCGAAAGACTGTCGCCAAGCCAGATGACAACCTCAAAAGCATTTTCGTAGATGTGGTTCATTATCGAGACTTGCTGAGTTCTCTCCGCGTTGTCCTTCTGATTGATACATACGGCGTCGACCCATAAAGCCACAGAAACTCTCGACTTCCGAAGCCTGCGTAGAGCATTATATAGGTTGGAAGTAACTTGAAAACGCTGGTCGTGGAGTGTCACCGTTTTGGGGTCGGCCTCGCTTCCCCAAACGTACGATAGGGCCTGGTATTGAGGCTTTGCATCGAGAGATACGACATCGAGATCCAGTCTGATGCTGTCAAACCATGCACCAGGTAGAATGCGCAAGAGTCTTATTTCTCTCCTGGAAGAGTCCAGAGACTGAAACATGCTATGCATCTGCAGCTGAAAATAAGCGATTGACGAGTGAGACGACTGTAGTGCAATGAGAACAATGGTGCGGGGAAACCAATCATGAAGCCAGATATCCTGCATACGAGCCAGTGGGTATTGTGAAAGATCCTTCCAGACTCCCCATTCACTAGCGTCGCTCACATGGGTCACTGGTCGTCTTTGGGTGCGCCATTGGCAAAATGCTGTTCATTCTGAGGAGAGGCCTGGCCCAAACAGCGTGATAGATCGACGAGGTCGCGATCATATCCAAAAGAGAACTGTACATCTCACGTGAGATGAGTTGGGCTACTGCCTTTAGTTACTTCTCATTGCTCCCAGTCGATATCTACACTGATTGTCAGCAGCCGTTCCCTGCTACTTGCGCGGCCAAGGGGTAATAGCAACCAGGCATCCATTTGAAAGCCTTTGTTGGTTCGTCGTCATGCACCAGGCAGCCATATCTCCTTGACAATAGAGTCAGCATCGTGAGCATTATGTCAAGATTCTCTCTCGATCTATTGCCGATTGAAGAATTATCTGACGATGGCAAGGCCCCTTGAGACTGCGGAAAATGTTCGCCTCAGAACATTGTCATGGATGGATGCAATTGTTTATAACTTATAAGCCAGTATCGCTCGAGCCGTTGATGGGTGGCCAAACCAATCTCACTTACCACGTGAAACTGAAACAGTCACTAAAAGACGATTACAGCAAAGCTGTTTACGAAGTTCTTGTCGAACATGGAGAACCATACATGGCTATAGACATCCTAGGAATGCTATCACCACCAAGCGCTGCGTACGTTAACGAATCTTTTCGGATACCACGCTAACCTCATGTAGTCCTTTGAAGCAGCTTGTTTAAATTACCTTGATTCAATTGAGTCTTCGTTGCGGGCATCTGGGAACGTTGGCTCCGATGCAGGTCTGAACGTCATTGAAGGGTATGCTGCAGGTTTGGGACCGCTGCCAGGAGAAGTGGCCCTTCGCATTGCCGCTCAAATTGGCGTTTATATTCTTAGTTCTGGGACACTGGCACAAGACAGGCCCGAATGCCAGATCGGCCGTGTTGCGCGAGAAGTGAGAGATATCATTGTTAATTAATGCCTGGAACAAAACCCAGGCATGGTTCAAAGGTCATTTTCTCCAGTGTCTAATCACAACCTAGCTGGAACACTTCTGGTGTAGACACAAACAGAATACGCCCAGAGTTTCCTATTTGCTATAATAAATATTGATTACTAATGACTTGACATATTATCAATGCGTGCCATAAAAGTTTCAATAGTCTTTGGCGATGATTTCGGCAGCCTGCTCGGCAAGAGCAAATGTGGCCACTTGAAGATGAGCAGAGATAACGACCGGGAAGACTGATGCATCCACAACACGCAGACCCCGTACCCCTTTGACCTTCAGATCGCCATCAACTACCTTTCCCATTGCTGTTGAGCCCATCGGATGATGAACAGACCTAGTGTCGGTTAGTTACTGCTCTTGAACAACAGAACAAGTCACATTACCGAGCAGCAGCACGAATCCTTGCGTCGATGTACTCATCAGTCGAGTTCACAGTGTACGGTTCGTCAAACCCCGCCGGAGCTGCTTCACCGTTCAGAATCTCACGACCAAGGACTGTTTTGTCGCTGCCAGCAAAAGCAATTTCCTGACGAATACCCTCACGTACGATGTAGCGATCGACGGCAGTCGCGAGATAATTCGGGTCGATCAAGGGTGAGTCGGTAATGTTTCCAGACGCAAGCTTGATAGAGCCCCGCGAAGTCGGCAAGATGAAGATGCCGGAGATTGCGACTTTTGACCCGTCGGCAGACCCAGAGTAGAGGAAGAAGTGTTCGAAGAAGGTACGTTTTTGCTTCAAGAGAGGATGATCGGGGCCGGGTGCGACACCCTCATCTTCTTCGATAGCTTTGGCGAGTCCCTCTTCTGATACACTGGAGCAGACGATGAAGTCTGTGGCGGTTCCCCAGCTGTACTGTTGCGCTGTCGGAAATGCGGGAGATCCTACCGCCCAGCCTTCCTCAGGGTTCTTGACATTCCAGGATGACGGCGACAGGAAGTGATCGGCATAGTTCTTGCCAACTTCAGGAGCATCAAGCTTTACGTCAACGCCCACCGCTTCAAGCTCATCACGGGGTCCTACGCCTAAGGTTCCTTGTCAACAATTGCCAACGCATTGCCTGAAGCACTTAACGTACCTGAGAGCATCAAAAGCTGCGGAGTATGAACTGCACCGGCTGAGAGAATAGTCTGCCGACCTAAAATATGGGTTCCGTTCGCTAGCTCAATACCTGTGGCTATCAGCCCCTCTGTTGAGTTAGAAAGGAGGACCTTGGCGACTTGGGTATCCGTTAGCACTGTCACATTTTCTAGGGAGTACACTGCGGCGGCAATCTCCCGTCGACCATTTCTCTTGTTCTCAGTGTACTCCGCAACACCAAGAGGGTTCCCGGCATTGCCATCAAACAACGGAATGGGTTCGACGCCAATTTCGTGCCACGACTGCAGCACCTTCTCACGAAGAGGGAATGGTCGCTTTGTTGATGTGACGGACTGTATTCTCACTGGCCCGTCATAGCCATGCTGATCCGGGTTTATCGTGGAATTCCAAAAGGTCTCCGCTTTCTTCATATATGGTAAAAGCCCATCATAGGTCCAACGGTCATCGGCAACAGCTTCACCCCAGAGGTCGTAGTCAACTTTGTCACCCCGGGTCCACAGGCCTTGGTTTGAGGTCAGTGTGGTTTGAAAATACCCTGAAGAAGGAGGGCCGTACCCATATTGATGACAGTTCCGCCGCCCAGAGCCTTTCCTTGGGCGAGGGTGATGAACCGGTTATCCACGTGCACCTGGGGAACGGAAGCGAGCTTCCAGTCGAAATCTCCGCCAATAGTGTTTGTGGAGTTGGGCCAAACGATATCTTGCCGATCGTTGGCGTTGGGTCCAGCTTCCACAACGAGGATCTTGAGCTCTGGACGGTACCCCGCAAGGCGGTTGGAAATGACTGACCCGGCGAGGCCGCCTCCTACGACGATCACATCCCAAATCATATCGGCTGGAAAAGGAACCGGTAGCCTGTTATCCCGTCGGCTCGGCTCATACATGCCAGTGAAGACTTCGCTTGAATTGAGATCGCACGGAGGAAGCCATCAGCCTTATGTGTTCTGATTTATGAATGGACATCACAGCAGGCTGAGATCGCATCCCAGAAGCGTGATATCTCCGCATCCTGCGCCGCACTTGGAAATTGGAGAAGCATCGGAGCAGATTCCGCTCGTACAACAAGACCCACAAATTGCCAACCGTAAGCTCTGCACGTTTCTTACCCAATTGGCTACGCAGCCTGGATCGTGGGACGATGTTCCTCGGAGTTGGTGCATGCCCAGGCGGAGAAGAGAACCAGCGTTGCAATTTCGCCGGAAACCGTCGTATCCCCGAAATGAGTGTCCGGGATGACAATCCGCCGGCCGGACCGTCCCGCTGGATTGAATTGATCCGTGGTTGATCTATGCTATCATTGCTATGTTCGGGAACATATTTTTGCGAACCAAGTTCACAAGCATTTCAACCTCATAGAATAGGAATCCTGGAGCTGAAAGCCTCCGGGGAATGGACACCGCTTGTGCCGAACCAAGGTCGCATCGTTCGCTTCCCTCGTAGCGGTCAGTCGACACGTTGACGATCCAACAGGAATGTTGCATGATCATGGATCAATGGACAAGGCCCCTTGTCAAAAGGCAGGGGAAGATTTTGGCCCCCACCAAAAACCTCCAATGCTGGCATATTAATTGGTCCGCGTAATCAGAGCTGTCGTTCTGGAGATGCTGTTGGCTCTAATTTGCAAAGACTCTTCTAGACGAGACGCGAGCCCCTGGCTAAGAAAGCCGATTTTCCGTCCTCGATTTTTCTTTCCTTTGCATATTCCGCCCTCAGTTGTTTTTTGTGGATAACAGCATGCCGAAGGAGCAACCGAGCCAAGTATCGTAGGCTTCAAGTTGTGACCACGATGGCTGATCACTTCCTGCCAGAATGCTGGCTATCCCCGGCCGATGACGTCTCAACTTCATAAGTCATATCCTTTCGGATCCCCCGAATAGGCACAGTGCTGTCCTTGTCCGACCCATTGTCCTCCTCTAGACGCGTCCAATCGCCTTGGTCGGCTTCATCGATCTCAAAGTTAGACTTCATGCCCTTCCGACCCCTGATCTTTGATGTTCCCCCAGAGCCACCGATTGTCACGAGCCCGGCTGATGGTGGCTGCAGTCCGATTGAACCCTCTGTGCCTCTGGTTGTAGCTCGCGGAGCTCGATGTCGCATAACGAACTGACGCAGGGCGGGGAGAGATCCTGCAATCAAGCCGATGGCAGTCTCGACGTTGGACCATAGAGGAATGTTGCCAATGTGATCTACGGAGCGAGTGAACTTAGTAAAACGATTGTCAACCAAGTATCGCAATAGACTTACAAGCAAGATCGTCGAGCGGGCGATTGTAATGGTCGATGTAAGGGGTTCTGATCATTGTCGACACTGAAGCACTTGAGGGAGATTAGAGTTAGGCGATAGGCGAAGAACCTCTAAGGGATGACTTACAAAGAACCGAAAGAGAGGAAAGTTGCAACCATGATCTTCGTCGACAGCCTCATCTGCGTCTGCATAAGAATGATGGCTGGAAGAACCGCGCAAGCCAGATCCGTCGCAATGGTGCTGGCTGTTGACGTATATGACAAGCCCAACATAGAGGTAACAGGGGAACATTCCCCGCGGCCATCTGCTATGAGGCTTGCGTCCCAGTTTGCCTCGACTGGCCGGCAGAGTAGCAAGATGCCGATGAAAGTCGTGAGAAATGTGGCGATGATGAGCCCAAGCAGAACATAGACGGCAACGCGCAACTTGGGCATCGTGGTGGCAATTCGCAGAGTAGTGATGCAGATGGAGGACTTGACAAGACATAGTGCTATGACGTATAGCAACATCCATATCATCAAGTACTTGATAGACTCAACCATCATCGTCGCGCTAAGGTCGGCATTGCGTCTACCCAACCCGCTGAGGGCGCCCACACATGCAAGAGCAACATCTGCGAGATAAACAATCTAGCGATAAGTACTAGTCAGTTTCGAGCAAGCGCATATTGTCGAACCTCCAACATCTAACTTACCAACCCACTCAGCATCAAGCCATCGTCGAAGCTGAAGTTTCTCTCCTTAAGCCGGAAATATGTGCGTGCCCCCACCACCACTAGCGAGACTATGCCGCCAACAATGGATACAACAAAAAGGCTGAGGCCTGTGCCCTCGAGGTGGTCGACAAAACGCTGCGTTGGATCCAAGGTCGTCATCTTGTTGTTGTCAGTCGCATGGCCTATCCTTTCGGTTCAGAGATATATCAAGAATTTAGCTTGAAGACGTTCAAGAAAGTGGCCAAACAGCCGTATGTATGTTGGTGAGCGCACGTGGGAAATTCCGCTCAAGAAACAAGAAATGGTAAGAGCAATATAATAACCTTGTCACTTAACCGAGAAGGAATTGATGCCGACTGCCAATGGATGCATGAGCTTTCTCAAACAATATGCAACACGTGATATCCCAGCCGCCTGGTGAGCTGAGCTCGCCGTAACGAGCTGCCATCCCAAAGCTGCGCACTCGTGTCGATCGACAGCAGACAAATCCGAGATGATCATTTCCCAACCTAGTAGGACCCTCTCGAACCCCTGACGGACCCCTGAAGAAAACGTTGAAGAAACCCCACCTGTGGGGTATCATGCTCCAGGGCAGTGCCAGGGCTGGTTGGCAAGTTCCTCATCTCCATCACTGTGAGAGGACGCTCAGGGTGAAGAGAAAACGGAGCCGTGAGGCAATTCTTTGCGGGATGGGCAGGTAACGTACGTTTGCCCCCTTTTCAACGGATGCTCAGCGGTGGAAAGAATACTACGCTGGACGCCGCGTCCATACCTCTTCTTCAAGGCCCTCGAATCGAAAGAGAAGACTGAGCCATTCACGTCTCTAACGTTGCTAGAAAGGACCCTCACTAGGCAGAATATCCTGCGGCTTTCTCATGATCTAGCCCCCACGAACCAGTTCATTAGCGAGGAAAAAGTGATGATCCTGCCAATTTGATCGCATCCCCGCACCCTTCGTACCATGGTCCACCCACAGACAATGGGGAACCACTTGACAGTTCCTCTTTTAGGAACCCTTCGACATGGGAACGAGCTTCAGGTCGGAGGCATATGCCACAACTGGTTTAGAGCATCCGCTCTGGACCCGGAAATGGGGACGCAGCAGACAGGGTCGTGGGTAAAACGTTCCGGCTGTCATATCTCCCTCCTGCTTTCCTTAATTACCATGGTCCCGGATCCCTTGTTACGAAGTGGCAGTTGAACTCTGCATGCCGTTGTGAGCAGACTCTTGTTGGAAACCGCAGCATACTATCCACCGCACGAATCGCTCCTTGCGCGTAACATCAGACACCATGACTGCCACAGAAATCACCGTTCCAATCACCCAAGCCCCTCCGTACAGGGTGCACGAGGGAAAGACCGCTGTCATCACGGGTGGCGCGAGAAGTGAGTTCATTCTTTGCTGATACTACCCGGAGGACGTTGCTGACAGAATACGCAAGGCATCGGTGCCTCCATTGCTCAGAACCTCGCCTCCAAGGGTGCCAACGTGGTCATCATCTACCTGAACGAATCCTCCGACGAGCCTGCCGCCACCCTAGCCGCCCAGCTCTCAAAAGCACACAATGTCAAGGCCGTTCCTGTCCGCGCCGACTTCAGCACGCCCGAGGGCTGCACCAAGATTATCGAGACCGTGAAGAGCGACCTGCCGCCCAATGCCAAGACAGGGAAGCCCCAGGTTGACATCCTCGTCAACTGCGCCGCCCTCTTCCACGCCATGCCCCTCGAGGCCGTCAACATCGAGGACTTCCACAAGGTCTACTCCATCAACGTCCTGGGCCCCATCCTCCTCACCCAGGCCGTCAAGCCACTTCTCCCCAACGACCGCTCGGGCCGCATCGTCAACGTTTCGAGTATCGGCTCCAAGGTGGGCCTCGAGTACCTGACGCTGTACGGAGGCAGCAAGGGTGCCCTCGAGGCGATGACGCGCACCTGGGCCCGCGAGCTGAAGGAGCACTGCACCGTCAACTCTTGCAACCCCAGCTCCACCATGACAGACATGCTCCGTGGTGCCTCTGATGATGCCAAGAAGGCCATTTCAATGTGGTACCCCCTCACGCCGCTGTGCGGAATCCGGGAGTGGGATACCGAGGAGCAGAAGGAGATGGCCGAGAAGTACGGCGGTCGCGCGGGATATGCCGAGGAGATTGCTGGCATTGTTGGTATGATCTGCTCACCTGAGAGCGGATGGATGACAGGATGCCTGGTCAGTGCCAATGGAGGCCAGTGGATGGCCAGCTAAGCGCGTTATGCGACAGAAGAAATAGTCACTTCAATACTACTTTGATCACAGCATTAATCGGCCGCCACGCCCACAAAAGTACTGTCAGACTGCATCATACCCGTGCCGAAACCTACTTTTGTCCATTTTATTGGGATCACAGCCGCGCAGGGAAGGCATGTGCATGAATATGCCTTAGGCAACTGCGGGTAATGTGTCTGATCGCTGCAGTGATGAGTTTGGGTTTCAAATACACTCCATTTGCAGTGACATTATGCTTGCAACACTTTTTTCCAAAGTCCTGCATCATGGGATTGTGTCTGTGTATCAATCCCTTTATTTCTGAGGGTGCTGTGAAAACATCTAACTCCACTTGCAGTCTACTTTCATCTCAGTTGTCTTCAATAGCCTCTTACCTGTATGTTACGGTCAGCTATCCGACAGTAGGGTCTGCTAACAGAAGTTGGGGATTGACGTTTAAACAGTACACTGGGGTCGTGGTCGTAGGTCGTAGGTCGTAGGCTGTAGTAGATCAAGTCTTCAGAGGCTAAGGTGATCA